AACAGGATCGACCATAGCTCGCGGATCTTCTTCCATATCCAGATTGCTTCAGGGCAGAAGAGGAGGCAGTGGGGGATGTCTTCGGGTGAGTCGTTGCTGCACATTGAGCAGCATGCTGAGCTATCAGGATCAGAATGTTTCCTTCTCTCGAGTAACCATTGGTTGACTGGCAGGGCTGCATGTGCTATTAGCCATTGCATACTTCGGATTCTACTCGGTCTGATGAGAAGGTATTTGGTCCATGTGATGGTGATGGGGGTAGTGGTATCTAGGTTCAGTATGGTTCTCCATTTCTCTGCCAGCCTTGAATTCGGGTCCCTGGTTTGTAGTCCGAGGTTATACCAGAACTTTACGTCATATTCTGTTATCCTTCTCGATTTACTGGTGGCGCCCAGATCCCATATCCATTCCTTTGGGTCGAATTCCAATTCGTTGATGCTGAGTTCCAGCTGGAATATAAGCCAGGGTGTCTTTTGAGAGACTCTAACCTTCCTGAGAAGGTAGGTTTCTATTTGTTCGTTCTGTGGTGTTTCGTTTAGGATCTCTAGTTCATATAGGCCGGGTTTGATGATGGGGTAGGATACAAACTTGGCCTGGTAGTTGATTAAGTCTGGTTTTGACACAAAACGGTAGGCTTTCGTTGGTGGGGTCTGTGTGATAAGCAAGCTCCAGTCTCCTGGTTTCCACGTATGTGTCTCTTTTAGGAGGGTCGTCCATGGGGGGGGAATGCTTTGGAGGATTTCGGACAGGTTGGTGGTCAGTAGATGGCAGCCTTGGCAGCCTTTTAAGGGAGTGCGGAGGTCCTGTGCGGTGAGCCATTCTTGTCGGTCTTCAGACCACAGATGTTTGACCTGCCATACTCCTCTCTCCACCCATGACAACCATCTGCGGTCTTTGGCCCGGGGAGTCCACGGTCTGCCCTTTGTGTCTTTGATCCAGGGATTGCAGAACAGGGCTTGTCGTAGGACTTCCTCTTTGTTGCTTGGGGGGGCTTTCTTTTCTGGCATCAGACGGCACCAGGTCTTCAGGATCGGAGACCAGTAGGGGGTGGGTGTAGTGGGGGGTTGAATGGGGGTCACTGGGTTAGTTTTCATTGCTGGTCTCCCCGATTTGATTGTCCACTCCTTTGCCATGATCCAGAATAGGCCACTCATGTTCGGTGGGGTCGCTGCTGGTGCCAAATTCCTTATGCTGTCTATCGCCATCGCGGTCCACGGGAGGGCTTGTTTGGTTAGGATTTTGATTATCCATTTGATTTGGAGGGCGATCGTTTCCTGTTTAGGGTCGATTATACCTAGCCCTCCTCCTTGTGGTTTCCTGATGACAGTTTGCCAGGCCACCTTGTTAATGCAGGTGGTTCTGTTGGGGTCGCCAGTCCATAGATAGCACCTGGCTCTCGCCTTCAGCTTCTTCAGGTCGTCGTCAGGGGGGCACCATATGGAGGCCATGTACCACAAGGTGGAGAATATTGTTGTGTTGATAATCAGGGCTCTCCCTAGTAGGGAGGCCTGGGCTTTGTTGCAGGTGGCTAAACGGGTTATTGCTCTGGCAAGTAGTGACTCCCCCATCCCTTGCCAGATGCCGTCCCTGTTTACCATGATGCCTAGATATCGAAGTGCTTGATCGCCTGTAGTCCAAGACATTGGGTTGGATGGTCTGGGGGTTGGGGGGNGGGTTGGATGGTCTGGGGGTTGGGGGGGGGGGGGGGGCTTCTGCGAGCCACCACCCTTCCGTTTTCAGCCAGTTCACCTTCATTTTTTAGGCGAGTCTGAAGACTTCCATGGCGCGGGTCAAGGCCTGGAAGGAGGAGTTGTTAGCGCGGATGAGGACTGTGAGATCGTCTGCGAACATCTGTGCAGTGGGGAGAACAAAGTCATGGAGGGGGTTGTAGTTTTGTTCGGTGAGGCGGTCTATGAATGGCTCCTTGCACAGGAAAGATGTGATGGCTTCCATTATGAGCAGGAATATTGGGGTTGCACGGGGTTCACCTTGCCGGACAGATCTCGATATCGGGTACGTTTCTGACAGTATTTTGTTTATTTGCACCCTACCTGTGGCATCCCCATAGAGTACTCTCACCCATTCTCTGAAGTTTGGGCCGACTCTCATCTTCTCCATGCAGTTGTGGAGGAAGTCCCAATTGACTTGATCGTATGCCTTTCAAATTCGAAGAATAAGATCGTCGCTTGCATTCGTTTTTCAGTGATCTTCTTTACCGCCTCGTTTAGAGCCATCACATTATCTACAATGTATCGACCCGGGATGAATCCTGCTTGGTCGATGTGAAAGCAACTGTCTATTAGTTTTATGATTCTGTTGGCTAATGCTTTTGCTAGGATTTTGTACGGCGTTGTGAGAAGTGAGATTGGTCTGTAGTTCTTGAGGTCCTCCTTGTCTCCCTTCTTGTATATTAGTGACACTACGCTGGTGCTTGGAAATTGACCTAGGCCTCTCTTTTCCCTGCTGTCGTTGATGAAGTTCAAGAGGTCATTACCCAGTGTTAGCCAAAACTGGATCCAGAATTCTTTGGACATGCCATCAATTCCTGGTGCTTTGTCGTTTCCCATCGTGAAAGGACCTGGCTATTCTTACCATGTCTGCGCCGGATGACTTTGTCATCCCCTGGTCTGATGGGTCTTTCAGCCCCTCGATTGTGTTGTTCCTTGCGTTGGCCTCGATCTTGGAGAAAAAGAATTTTGACATGGATTCATTCAGGGCGGAGTCATTCATTCGAGCGCGTATCTGCCTCTGAGTCCCCCTCCTCCATTCGTTCAGTTCGTCCTTGGTAGACTGGAGTAGGTCGTGGTAGGAGTTGAAAGGGATCAGATGGTAGCTCGGTTTCTGCGATGTCGAGCACGATTTGTAGTTCCTCCTTCCCGTGTTTGTGTTCTGCTGCTATGCTTCTAGACTCTGCTGAGACCGTCTGAGATAGGTCCATATAGCTGTCTATGAACCATTTGTGCCTGTCCTGGCGTTTCTTCTCGTCTTGTTGTATGAACCACCAGTTCCATCTGATTGCCTCGGTCATGCGTTCAGTGGAGAGGAGTGAGTTGTTGCGTCTAAAGAAGCCTTGTCCTTTTTCTACCGAAGAGTTGAAGTTAAGGAGCAAGTAGGTTGGTTTGTGGTCGAGCCCCTTAGTAGGATACTGGCCTCCTTGATTGCTCCCCGTAGCATGTCCGAAATTAGGAAGAAATTGATTCGTGGTACTGATGGGTGGTTAGATCGGTTCCTCTTGACTAGGGAGAAGGCTTTCTTGCGTGGGTGGAGGATTCAGAATGGGTCGACCACGTTGAACTCTGTCATGATGTTCCGTATGTGTGTGCTCGCTCGTGTGGGCCCCAACAACACTGCCCGGGAAATGTGATCCAGGATGGGGTCCATCGTAGTGTTCCAGTCACCTGCTATAATTAGCGGCAACGGGGTCCGGAGAAGTGATTGATGTGGTCGAAGAAAGCTAGGTGTTCGGCTTCCATGTTGGGGGCGTATAGGTTTAGGATTTTAATCTCTTCCCCTTGCCATGTAATTTGGATCCATGACCATCTTCCTTCCGCTGTGTCTCCTTCGCCATTATTTACTAGACCCTCAAACCAGATTTTGGAAGTAGTTGGTATGAGGATTGCTGTTTCGCGGTTGCTTTGGTCCGCTTTGTTGGACCACAGTGAGAAAGGGCATCCCCCCAGGCTTTTCTTCACTGTCCTCTTTATTCTGGTGTGGTTAGTGAGGTTAGATAGGTGGGTCTCTTTTAGGAGAATGATGTCGGGTTTGGGCTTTCTGTTTTTTGTGAGGCCGAGTCTGATGTCTCGTAGTTTGTCGTCTTTGGTGAGAATGTTGCCCAAGCCGTTGACGTTCCAGCTGTGGATCGTCAGACCCCTTGCTTGCCAGTCCATTCTCACTGTCCCATACTGATTTTCATTGTTGTCCATTTGATTACATCTGATGGGTTGTTGTGTTAGGGGTAGCGGTTGTGGTGCGGAGTACAGATGGGGGGGGGCGCGTTGGGGTCTCTAATCAGCCACTATTGTGGTCCCTGCGCTGTCAGCTCCGATTCCTCCGGTCCGTCCGCTGTCGTCGTTTGCCCTTCTCCCGGCGGCGGATCCCAGGCTGTATCCTCCCATGCTGTCCTCGGGTGTTGGGGTGGTACCGGTCTCGTCACAGCCCGGGGATATCTTGTCGTTCAGCCCGTCGTCATCGTCGTACTCCCTCATGTGCCTATCCTCATCCTCCGGTTCCAGGTACAACGGCTCGGCTTCGTCTTGTAGGGAGCGTTCTGTGGATAGAATGTGGGATCTGATGATGGCGGCCAGGGAATCGGTAGACCTCCGCCGGGCACATCTTGCCTGCGAGTGTGTTGTATGGCAAGGCGGTCACAATGTTCCATGCTGCAGCCTCGCTTTTTCTTCTAATTTTACAAGAAATGGTTCAAAAGATCTGGCTGTGGCGAGTTCCTGGTTGATCTTGTCCGAGTCTTCCCCGAGGGGGGCGGGGATTCCGTAGACACCTAGGGGGGAGTCTTTGGATATGCCTTCCCTGATTGTTCTGGCCAATGTTCGATGGTCACCCGCGGTCAGGAAGGCGAAGGATACGTCTGTGGCTACCTGCCACTGCCCGAACTTTTTTTTGTACCAAATAGGGACCAAGGATCTGACTGGCTTGGTCGTTTTGTGATCTGAGGTAGCTTTCTCAATGACATGGGGGGCCTTGTTGTCTGCCATGTTTTGGATTGTGCAGTACTCTTTTCTGTGGCTTTTTCGGTATTCCGCGTTCTGATCAAACAGGCACTTTGTCTGAGCAGCGACGATGGCGATCTCCTGTTTGAGGGATCGCTGCTCGTTGCCGTTTCCTATCGTGTCTGTAGTGGACTTTCTGGGTCTCTTGACCCTGCCCTTTGAGGGCTTCCACTTCTTTGGTACCATGTCTCTGATTGGGTCCTTGCGGACCTAAGTTTCTGCACTGGAACCAGACTCCGAGCTCGAGTTGTCTCTTTCCCTCTTTTTCTCATAACATCTAAAGGCGCTGAATTCTGACAACTCATTCTGTTATCTCAGGATGTCGTAGGTGTTCGTGGATGTGTGGATGCCTGCTACCGGGCCTTTGCTGCTCTGACCTGTCTTCTCTTGATGCTTCATGCATGCCATTCTGATGACGAATTCTTTCTCCCTCTCATTTTTGGCTCTTTCCAGATATTCCTGCAGCCAGGCGATGAGGGTGTCTCCCTGTTCTTTTGGTTTTCCTACTTTGTCGCTCTTGGAGGGAGATATGTCCATTCCTTTGTGAGTACAGTCCTGATCTGTTGTTGGGCTGGCGTCCGAATCATTCGGGGCTGCCTGTGTGCTCTGTGTGTCATCGGGGGTGCTTCCCTTTTCAGTTGAGCTGTTCTTTCTTATTTTTTTCACACTCGGTGTCTCGGTGTTCTCCTTTTGTGGGGAGGCCTGTCTCTTGAGGGAGGGGTCAGTCTGAATGATGCGTTCCTCGATGATCTGTTTGACTGCGTCCAGGATGTTGTTGTCATCCTCTCGCTTGGCAAGGGCGTCTGCAGTCTGTTGTCTGATTGAATCAAGATCCCACAACAGGTTTTCGTGTTTCTTCTCTTCTTTGCGCCTGGGAGTCCACCACCGGGTCTGAGTAGACTTTCCTTGGGATCCCTGTTACCTTCTTTGCTCCCACGTGGTGCCATTTGCTGTCTGACGGTGGAAAGATGTCTGGCTGGTTGGTTGTCGGAGTTGTGTTCGTGTATGTCCATATCCACTTAGGGTCTGGGATGTTGTCGTCGAAGACCCAGCCCTTGTAGTTTGGGTCATTGACGAAACAGATACCTTTGGCCTCTTCAACTTCGACGAGCATGTTCAGTTTTTTCTGTTTAGGGGAGCGTGGGCATTTGGGATCTGTTCCCACGTGACCTCTTTCTCTGCACCTGAAGCAAATTGGCAAAGCTTTGATAGACACTGTTACTGACGCGACTTTGTCCCCAATATAACATTGCCACTCCTCTGGGAACACCGGGGGTCGTCGGTCAGTACCTCCAAGATTGCTGTTACGGAATCGCCGTGGGGGGCCAGGAAGTCGGGCGTGGGGAGGACCCACTTTATCACTTTGTTTGCCGGGTATTCGACTTCCAACCGATCTTTAACCAGGGGGTGGCCTCTGGGTGGGATGTTGTCGAATTGTACCCAGAACTGCTCCCTCATCAACCGCTGTTTGTAGGAGGCATCCGGTGCTGTGTCGTCGCCCGTACGTCGTACGGGGGGTCCCGGTACGGGCCGTACGGACAGACGTACATACGCTCGTACGGCCGTATGGACGCTCCCCGTACGAGCGTGCTACCGGCCTGTGGGGGGGTGCTGGGGGGGGGTTAAGGGGTTGGGGTGCTGGAACGGGTCAGTGGGTGCGGTGCTGTGCTGTTGAGAAAAAAAAAAAAAAAAGAAATTTGGGTGAAAAAATGAGAAAAAAAAAATGACTGGCCGTGTCCCCGCGGGCCTCAGCCTGGTACCCACTGCCGCGGCCCAGGGCAGTTTCGGAGGCCCTCCGAAACTGCCCTGGGCCGCGGCAGTGGGTGCTAGGCTGAGGCCCGCGGGGACACGGCCGGTCATTTTTTTTTCCTCATTTTTCACCCAAAAAAAGAGGGAGGCACTGAGGCAAAGGCCAAGGACGTCTGCTTTAAAGTGAGGTTGTGGGCGTCAACATCCACAGTTTTGTGTTGTCGCCCACATTCCTGTTGAGGCTGTTGTCGCCCA